GCCTGAAGAATATGTATTTACACTGTCTGAGAAAACTCAGGTGCTTCATCATTCACATTGGAGACATGGATCCTAACAGTTGCTGTGCCAGTCCTGGGCTCTTCCCCTTGATCTACAGCCATAATTGATGAACTCATAGAGGTGCTCAGGGCGCTCGTAGTCCAACCGTGTGGCTGGAAAAATAGTGCAATGAGAAGTAATGGCTGAAGTCTTGGCTCAGAGAGTAATACAGCAACTGGGCCATTCTCCTTTGAGTCACAGTCAGTGGCTGTCACTGTTAGAAGAGAAAGATATTGTATAGATCAAAGTTGGTGAATTGGAATCGGTAAGTGCATTTATTACTAACTGTAGTAGGACTTGCCTGGCAATGTTGGTGCTTGAAATCAGTCAGAAACTCTGCTGTGCCTTGTGCTTTTTAGTAAACTACCCTTATCAAAATAAGTAAGATAAAAACCAAAAGTTAAGTCCCTGTGGGAGAATTTGATTGCTAGTTAGTCTTGTTAAAGATGCTTGTTTAAAGAGTCCTGTACCATCAAGAATATATCCAAATAGAGAAAGTATATTCTCATGTCCACGCTGACCTACACTGCTGACTCAAAATCACTCAGATCAATGTGCAATTAAATATGGGACATTTACATATATTATTCAACTGATGTGCATTATGTGTTTTTCAGATCCTATTCATAACTTACAAAAATATATGCTAAAAGCACAGTTACCAGACCAGTAACTAACAAACTACCAATTAGTACAGATAAATCACTAGACAGAACAACAGGATAAATAAAAAACAACAGGATAAATAAAAACAACAGGATAAATAAAAAACAGAATAAAAGCCTATTTACTAGGGAAAAGCAATTTTCCAGCAGCTGAATTTCCTTTTCCTCCCTCCAGATTTAGAGAAAGTTTGTGTAAGGGTTAAAGATTAATACAAGGCCCTTATACAAATGCTTAATAGACTCATTTTTTTTTTTCTTGCTTTACAGAGCACCACACTTGGAAGCTCAAGTTCTGGTCTCCCTGGGAAGAAGCAAAGTCTTGTTGTCAAGCATCCAAACAAAACCTCACATAGAACAGCTAAAGTGTACAAGAGTCTGTTAATGCAAGAGAGCAGGATTCCTACAGCAAGCCCACACAGGACTCCCAGAGACAGGCAAAGAAGGTGAGCTGAGGTGTCCATAACTTCTGATCCAGGATCACTCTCCTCCTTCAAGAAATGTAGCAAGACTGTTACTATGAGCCTGCTGCTGTAATACCAACCACAACAAAGTTCTGTTACTTCAAAATTCCACAAAGAAAATCTCTTTCCTTTGCCTTCCTGTCCCTTAAAATTGTTTGGGCTGTGGCACCAGTAAATAACTCTGACATTAATCTACAAGGTGTCATTTGCTTTCAGAGAGCTGCAACTACCCATGCTGGGACAGGTAATTTTGTTTTCTGAACTGAATTCTAAATAGTACAAGGGAGAAAAATACAGTGAACATAATAAATGGCTTCAGGAGCACTAACCTTGGAGAAGTGCAGTTGTCATAGGAACTGTTTCAGGAACACCAACTTTGCTGTAAATCGACTGATGAAATGCGGGGGCACAATCATTCACATCTGTGATTACAACCAAAACCTTAATGGAGAAGAGGGGAATGTTAAACAGCAAAGTGAATCAAGGGAATGACCTCACTGCTCTGGAAATACCACATGGAAGAATTTCCCAAAAACATCATTGAAGTCTTCAGCAGCTATAGGGTAAGACATTTTTCTTAGATTGCTCTTTGTCTGCTGAGTGCCACTGAAATATTACATTCCAAGACACTAGAAATTGCCAAGTCTCTGACCCTGCAGCAATGTTTTCCACTCACCTTTCATCTCCATTGATTATTCCTTATTACTAGTTTAAAGGAAAATGGACCATCTGCTTGCCAAGCACCCTTTTTCCATTATCTTATCTTGCAACACTTCTGTGATTTGTAACACTAAAAACTCTACTGCCAAGCATATTACATTTTAGCATTATAAATCTCTAAGACCTAGTTCTGAATTTAATTACAGCAGTACAATCAGATGTAAGTGGAACTGACTCTCCAGGGAAGTGATCACAGCCCCAGTCCTGACAGGGCTCAAGGAGTACTGAGGCAACAGGGTGGGATTGTTGGGGTGTCTGTGCAGGGCCAGGAGTTAGGACTCAATCCTGTGGGTCCCCTTCCAAACTTCTGGATATTCCTATGGTTCTGGTAAACTAAGTAAGAGATACAATTTTGCCTCTAACATCTTTACAAATGCTTTCTTATTCCTGTGTCCAATATGAGCCCACAGTTAACGCTCCAACACCAAGGAGTGTGTAAAGGAGTCTTTCTGGTGCTCATGCTGCTGCACCTCCTGCAGTTAGTGAAGGCATTTCTGCATTACAGAGCCCTTGCAGAGCTGCATTCCATGAGCCCTGCAGAGCAGATATGCATGAGCTAGAGCTGCTCTCTCAACTATTGAGGTTGCCATCAGTGTAAAGCAGGTACAAGGTTAAACTACCTCTGGCTACTCATATTTGTAAATCATCTCACAATCCTCTTTTGAGTCATATTTACTATTCTCATCTTGTAGTACTCAAAACATTGGGCATACTGCTTCCATCTCTCTGTGTCCCTAATAATTCTGTCTCCAGCTCCCCCTACTATCAGGAAATATCTAAAAGCATGAACAACTCATATAGTATGCTTTTCCTAGTTCAGTGAATCTCTGAATTTAAATAACTGTAATAATTATATTAAGAAATATTTTTGCTGTCAAACCAGCTTTCTAAAATACCAAAACCATCACCTTTTAATATCAGTGAATTTTTATTTCTTTCTTGTTTTACGAGTGCACTTTGTGTTCCTGATACAAAACAAGTAATTCTTTGTCCTGCCTTTGTTTTAGAATGGAATAATCTGAAATGTACCTCACACTCGATGAAAGTAGAGTAAGACAAAACCTCATGCCTGGCTTGGCCACATCCATTTCCATGTGTTATCAGATAAGGCTTGGGATCTATGATGGGACAGCATATTGATCCCTC